AATTTTTCCACACTTTATCTGTTTTACTTTAGTGACTATAAGATTTTCGTAAAGTACTTTAGTATTAGGTATTTTCTTTTCACTTTTTAAGTAAGGTACTAAGTTCTTCAGTGTTATCCCTTTCCTCTATATTCGATCTAGTAGATGCTAATTTTAATATGTTAGGAATTAAGATGATAGTATATGAGTGATTGATTGTCTAGTCTTACCTTAAATATTTCGTAAAATGATCTGAGTTAAACTCTTTTCGTTTTTATGAGCACATTCATTATTAATATGGTTATAGATAGTAAAGATCAATAGAACTGAGAATTTGACCAAGGTAATGATTGAATTGGTCAGGAGGATTACTGAGGATGTTTTAAAATAACTTGTGTTTCGTCTTTTTCGGGCTCATAGATGATGCGCGCCTCTAACCTTACAACCAGACATTTTCTGTCTTTCTGAGTTTAGATGTTATGCCTTCTATTGTTTGTCTTTATTTCATAACAGATGTGGTATATCTTACTGGCATGTTAATTAGCTTAGTAAACATCAAAATTAAGCAAGTGACATGAAGAGGAATCCGAAACTTAGAGTTTTTCCATATGGTAAGTATCCTCTTTTCTCTAATTATTCTGCTCACATCAGATGTATTTGAATACTGTAGTGATCTTAATGCTGCATAACAATTTGAGAAGTTTTATCATTACTATGTATATGCATTCTGTCCAATCAGTTTGAGAATTAAGAATTTTTAAATGTTCGATTATATAAGTAATTAAGCATTATTCAGAATGAAGTTGTGCCGGTTAGTGCAATCAATTTATGGTTTGGTTGGAATTAACTTTTCTTTGTTTTTATAACCAGTTGGTTTTACATAAATGTATGGATGCAAAAGATATTCACATTATACTGTCCACTTATTTTATAATTTTTGTAAAGTTTAAAAAAGCGTTATTTTATCAATGATACTTAACCACTGATCACTTTAAACCTTATAAAAAATAATTGGAAACTTTACTCAAACTTCACTGTTACGAAATCTATTCCAGACCGATAAACACAGTTTCAAATTACTTTGTTGTCTCGGTGTACTCTAAAACTAATAGTAAGATAAGTAACTTTGCCCTATCATTTTTACATCCTAATAATTGTGTGGAGATATTATTTATAGTAAGATTTAGACTAAATGTTTTATTTATCCATTGGGTTAACTCATACTATCTTTACATTGTATCGAATACCAGTCATTATGTGCGCAAAGGGCATTTTTATATCAAACTGTCATATGTTTGATACACATTTAAAAACCTAGTGTCTTCATATCTTTTAAATGAGATTTATTACCTTGAGAATAATTCATAAACGAAAATGAAATGTTGCACGTATGTTAAGTATACTGTGATTTGCTGACAGTAGACTTTACTGTGTCATTATATATACATATATATGTCACAGATTATGATGTACAATGTATATAGTACGACGTCGTTTGTCATGTGATAAATGAATGACACAATGTTTTATTGACAAAAGTAGTAAGTTTCTGTAGGCCTTTTTCATATTCATAATTCACAAAAGAATGAGTTTCTTCTTCAATAAACTAATAACATAAATGTGACTGTAAGTATCTATGCAGAATGAGCTCCAAAACTTCTCAAAGAATAAATGAATTACCTAAAGCAAAGCTAGAAGTAAAGGACGTTTATTCTGTAACCGAATAAAAAGATACATATAATATCATGTTTAGATTACTATGTGACTCACTACGGTGTACTGATTTATCAACACTGAAAAATAACCTCACTTTTCCAAAGGATATCTACTTACCTAACTAATTGTTAGTTAAATTATTGTTCAGCATCCCTAGTTTCTAGAAACTGGTGGATGTTACTGAAATTACAACCGTACCGAATTTAAAAATCACAATGAATATCTGAAAGCACTGGAAAGCTGTTTCATCTTATTATGGGATTTTTCAGCAACGCTCATTTATATTGTCACTTGAGCTTGAATCCAGGAACTTAACATCTAGATCACCGAGCCAGCATACTGTGATTTGCATGTCTAACTCAAATCAACCTTCGGTACGGCACAACCATCTTGCACTGTCTGCTGAGGAGTCCTGTACCTGGACGACACTAATATTCAGAGCTTCGAGATTTTCAGTGGTTTTCTAAATTGGGTATTTTAGTAATTTCAATAAACTCTCAATGCTACAAAGAAGAATTATACACTTGCAATGAATAATTTAAAATCATGGCACTAACCGTTAAATCACAAGTTCATGTTCTTACAATAGATTAAAATTGCATGACTCGTAATGATAATAACAATACATTAATATTATAATTACAATTTTATTTTTTTAAAAAAAAAACACTTTTTAACAAAAACTTGACTGTTTCTATCCATTCTAGATTAATTCCCAAGTTGTAAATATCGATTGTGAAAGATACTTTTAGTATACTTTAGGAGAAATTCGATAACATGGATTTGCTATCATTATCAAAAAACTGATTAAAATAATGAAAAGTGTCTAGTATTTTATGTTTATTTTATGGTTATTCAAGTTGGTCATCAGTTAAATGAATTATTACATCAGAATAAGGGGTGAAATAGCTAGATAGGAATTTCTGCCAATAATGTGTTGATATGATGCAATAAAAACTATCAATAAATGTTTTCAACATAGATATTGCTACCAAGTTATCATTTGTTTAGTGGTATCCAGTGATTAAAACGATTGTTCAAGTAATTCTATTCAGGATTAACTAAATGGCTGAGTTTGGGTGACTAGCGTTCTCAATAAAATTCAAGCCCGTAAATGCTCAATTAAGAAAGTTATAGTTTCAAGATGGGGACCATTTTATCGTTCTATCCATTGTTTTTAGTAGAAATGATAATTAAATGTGAAAAGATCTTTAGTAAGTATTCCAATATCATAATTAGGTTTATGGTGTTCAGATTTATTCTGTAATTTAACCTTTCTATTAATTATTGTACTAAAATTAAAACTGACAGTAGATGTCAGTATAAACTGATAAAATCATAAATAACTCTGGTTGACTTTAAAGTGTTTTGTACACTGAGAGCAATCATTTTCTTTCCGCTGAATTAAGAGTACGTTTTGTTCGAGTTCACGGTAACTTTTTAAATCTACTTTTTACATGGCAGCAGTCAGTTATTCATACAAGTGATTAATAACTGAAGTTTCCGTATCAAACATTAGAAAATTTCATAAAGGTGGTGATTCTCATAATATTTAATCAGTTACATCACTACTTACTATCTTTCTCGCCTTGTCATTTTCTTTCCTAATATCTGTAGGTCTTGACGATGATTTTACCTGTCATTATACTTCAGATAAATCCCAGTTTTACAAACAATTATTAACATACGGCCTTTATTCTTAACGGTACTCTGAACTGATCGGCTACTATATATTCCTTTTACTTCGCTGTTAGTGTACACTTTATGGGACTGGCATTCGAGATACAAACATTTGACGCTCGGGATCATCTCGTTTTTAAAAACGAAGAAAGCTAGATCTCTTCTGATTTTATGGTCGCACAAATGATCGATAAAAATTATAAGAAATGAGTCACTGTCTATCTTATATTGGTAAATTTTGTGTATGATTGTAACGATACCATGATAAATAATGGGAATACATTCTAATCATATTGGATCTGAAGGACTATGGGGTTCATTCAATAAAAAGATATACCATCTCTGCAATTTCAATTTCAAGTGAATGCCTGAAAATTAATATGCTGTTTGCCTTTACTTTCAGAAATGAGAAGAAAAAAGGATAACCTATTCATTTAAGTTATAGGGTTAGGGAATGTCTCATGAAATCATAATAAACGGAAAAAAATTACTGTTGCTTGCCGTACCAAACTTGCAAGAAAGAGGGCTTTCAAGCGGATAACATTTGATTTACAATGTATATGATGTGTACTAATGTTTTCTAGTCACTAATATGTTTAAACTTGTTGAAGTTGTCAGGTGTCACAGTAATGCGATTGGAGTGAATGCCAACTTCGGCTATATACATTGTTCTGATGTCTAATTATTAGAGCATTTATTGTTCAGTTATTGCTATTTTTCGTAAATCTTCATCGTTCGTAATTATAATAGAACCAATTTCTGTCCCGATTCACTAAATATGTTTATAACACACTACTTAAAAACTACTGTCGTTATATTTCTGATGAACTCACAGAACACACAGAAAGAAATATTCATTGATGATAGAATTAATGAATAATGCAGAAGTTTGATAAGATGAAAATCTGTTTGAAATTTCCAAATATTTTATGCTTTTTATTATACTACGATCAATGGTTTTATCGATGATTGGGTTTCAATCCATGCTGTATAACGTCACATACATAAAGCTGTTTAGTATGATAATATTACAAAAATGCTGTTGTCAGACCCATGAATGAAGTAAAATTTGATGAATATATGTGTGTCATCAATTATTACAGTTGGTTTTCATTTAGCTGTGAGAAGTGGAAAGTAAATAAAAAAGTATTTCTCACTTTGATTAACTACTGAATATGAAATTGTTTGTTATGTTCTACAATCACAACTTTCAAGTTACTCTTAAAGTCCAGAAAAGTCTTCTGAAATCACTTCACATAAGTAGTGATATGTTGTTATCTTGCCGTCTGTCCAACACTGGATATTCATTGTATGTGACTATACTTATCCTTGTTAACATAATGATTGTAAGAAGAAAGTAGAAATTAATGGTGAACGATTTAATTTCAAAAGAATAAAGGGGATCATTAATAAATGCTGAATTATGAATAAATATTTAACTAGTATTAACTCCTGTTTGTCTGATGATTAATCGAGAATAGTAATGAAAATACAAACGTGGGAAAATGGATTTATTATTTAATTTCTTCATTAAATGTCTGTTTATAAGACCATTACATAGATAAATTATTTGAAAAGTAGTAGGATTATTTAACTTGCTTTCTCATTTTTCATAATTATTATAGCCAGAAAATGAGGACAGATTGAAACAATTACAGTTAATGGAATTGGCTGTTCTAAATGGTATGACATGGTTTGTTGTGTAATCTTTCTACTTTTGTGTGTTTATCTGTGTCGGTATGCTTCTACTCAACTGATAAACATTTACCAATAATTAATAATTGAACTAACTGCCTATGATTGTTTAAATCTTATTAAAAGTTATAATAACCTGATTATATTGCTATCCTAACATTAGCTAGTTAATTGATTAGTTGAGTTGTGTTTTTGTATGTATGTATGTATGTATGTATGTTCGGTGGTTATACTCATACAATGAGATCATGTTTATCCATGTGCATTAAACAAAGAAAACAAGTTTTGGTGCTTCATTTTTTAGTACTTATACTATCTTGCCAATATTATGTTTTGAAGAAGACTGAGACATCATTTCCATTGCTAGTACACTCATTGTCCATTTCTATGTATGTTTGTATTCGTGTGTTTGTGCAATGGTCTCAACTAGTTTTGATTTCATCATACTGTCACTTCTAACAGCATCTGTCTCTGGTTAAATGTGTGTGCGTGTAAATTGGCTTGTGTGAATAGTTACAGCAGGGTTTATTGTTTCTTACTGTTTCTTCTAATGCATTGATAACTATTGTGGTATGACTGATAAAAAATTTAACGCTATAAATGTGTAACTTCATTTGTCTGTGTCAGCGCCTAGTGCTTTGCATATCCTTTTAATAATAATACAGATGTTTATATGTGCTCTTACGTGTGGGTATTATGTATTTATAAATGAATAGATTATGCTTCAAATATTTTGTTTGTTTACATTTCACCTTCCATTAATGTATACATGTGAGCAATTCTTATACATATATACATATTAGTATTACTGTTTTTGGTGCGCACTGCCACTTTTATTGCTTTCATTTTATGTGTTTTACCTGAAAATTCATTTGCTTAAAAACAGTTTGTTTTTATTCATTGCATATCACTAACCTATACTTGTACCGTAACTGTATAACAGTATGTGTTTTCACCACATTCATTAACGTTCACAATTCTCCTTTTGTCGTCAGTTTCATCTAGATGTAGCTAGTTTTATCAAATAATATTTATGTTCGATTACTTTTCTGTGATTGCGTCATAGTTGCATAGTAATACTAACATTATTAATTAACATGCACTTATTCAACATTTAAAACTATTTCTACCACTACGATGCTTTTGTTTAGTCTACTGGAAATATGACAGAATTTAAAACAAGTAAGGAAAGGACATTGATAATGGTGGTTACCAACTTAGCGAAATCCCAAAGAGTATAATTAAGATAATGAGTTTTATTTTTTTTAAAACCTAAGAATTAGTGTATATTACAGTCAGTAAACTTCTTATTGAAAAATAGACTATAGTAAGTTTTGAACACAGTTAACCTGGATCATAATCGTTCAGCAAAACATTAAATTACTCATATTGATTAGTAGTATTTAAGGCTGTCGTTTGTTGTAAGTGTTTTACAGAACACTTTTATGTACTGAACTACTGAATGGTTAGATAAATGAAATCCATGACCTACTAATCGTCTCAAATGATGGCCGTTTGCTTTAGAACATTAACAGTTTTCTAGTGAAAACTGCTATCACCTATTTCTGTTCACTTCAATAATTTACCAACATTTATATTTGGGATTCCAGAATATTTTTGTTTTGGTTATTACTAGTTTGTTGTTTGAAGCGCTTCCTACGAGTAATGTTAAATTCGGTCACTCGAAATTATGGAGGTCGAGTTGTTTCAGCTTATCTTTTAAGTATTTGACATTTATATTCACATGTGGAGAACAAATTATGTTCACACGTGATCCTACCAAAGAAATGTAATGGCTATTTTGGGTTTACTAACATTAAGACATGAATGTATTATTATCGGTAAATCAATCAGGATTATAAGGTATGATTTCGCACCAATTCTTTTCCATATTTTAAGCTCTTGGATTCACACTTACCAAATGTTCTCATCATTTTAGGAATACATGTGACTTGGTACACAGTTAATCTATTGTTCCCATCAGTAAAGTTTAAATAAATACTATGAAATTTTGCTTAACTGTTTTCAATTAGTCTTTCTGCTAAGCAATTAGAAGACAGAATTACATTTCATTTTATCGTCTGTTATAAACCACTGGTGTCATGAAAAAATTTGGGCTTCTCTAAATTTCTAGATTTTTAAACTCCAATTCCTGCCGTTTAGCTCAGAGAAGTTAAAGTGGCTTTATTTAGTTATAGTTAACTCGTGCTGATGGTGGGTTGTACATAAAAACAGTTTCAAGATAATACCTTATAATGCGGTAGAAAGGTCCTAGTTATCTGTAAGACTGCAGCTTCATATTAGTGAATATACGGTCAATGATTTGTGGATAACTTACTGGCATTGATAAGTTTAGCCAGGATTTTAACCAGACAATTTAATGTACATGCTACTTCACAGACTGTAGATTTTGTGATCAAAATAGTTACAGCCTAACTGTAGTTGTAGACACTTTTTATAATCTCTGTCTAACTGGGCATAAATAGAATACATTTCTATACTTCATCGATACTTCATAGTGGCTTCAGTGGTTTCACTACTCTGTCAGTCAGTATCTTCATCAAATCACTGGAAAGAACCTAGATTTCTTATTTGTATTGGTGAATCGGAATTCGGTAAAGCCCAAAAACTGCCATTTGTGTAAAAAATCTAGTACCACATGATAAATATTCACGTGCTAAGTTTATTGATTCTTTAATTCCTACTACAACAGTTATAAATAACAGAAAAAATGTAAAATAACTGCGCTACCTTGAGGCACAACTTGAAATACAAGAAAAATAGAACAGTGAAACAATGACCAGTTCCAGTTATAAGATATTGTCATCTGTTCTGTTTATCATTCCATCCGTTATTTATGTAAGTATGCATTAATCGAATTATGGAATTTTCTGGAATTTCTCTCAATTACACCGAAGCATTTTATTTTGCAACATTTCCATAACATATATCTATAGAAATAAAAACGATTACACTGATCAGGCTGGTTACTTAGGAAAACGGTAAACAGTTTTTTGTAGATAATTGATTATTTGTTTATTTATGTTTATATAGACACTCTTGAAAGCTATGAAATGCTGGGTACTGTATTTACTTGGGGTTTAATAATATTTCACTGTTTTGACATGTAGGGACAATAGCACTTTATTCATCAATGGAGAGCTTAAACAATGACTCAGGTGATATTTTTAAATATTTGGGGATGCTAGTTTGTGTCATTTACAGACAGTGAAAAATTATGGACAAAATTTAAACTCAAATAGATATTCATTTGGTGGATATCTTTAAATTATTATCACTCACTTCATTATTTTTTGTTAGAGTACTTAGTTACTTGAATGAGTTTTGTTGGACATGGTCGGTAACTGAATAGCTATATATAAAATCATCATTGAGCACCACTTTAGTTATTTTTCCTTTTTTGAAAGATACTATCCGTTTGCTAAAAATGGATGCTGAATAATTCTTATTATTATTCTATGTAGTCGGATTTAATAAATAATATTTATGGTTACTAACGTTGAATCACAAATTGTTTGACAGCAAAATGATGTTTGGTGTGTACAAATGATGTTTTCCGGTGACAATAATATAAGGTGGGGTTTCATTCCATGACGGCGTCAAAATTCTAGTAATGGTGATCAAATTTTCTCTTTCATTTTCTCTAAAAAATATAAGAGATCAGTGTATTTTGAAATGGTAACGAATATGAAAATATGTCATTTGTATTCTCGAACGTCAGATAATTGGTAATTGCTTTTATCTTAAGAGCATAATTTTTTCGTAGTGTTCATAATTATGTAGGATAATCTTTCATGTGAAGTATTATGTTAGTTTCTGCTAACTCTTAAAGGATTGTACTATGTATTATGAACTGTTTGAGCACATGTATACATATTTATGAAATTTACATTACCTATTAAAATACTGGGGAACCAAAACCGTTTTGATGAGAGTAGTCGACTAGGTTTGCATACCAATGATATTTGATAAACGTGATCTGGTTAAATTGTGATAATATGTTATGAATCCTTTTTGTGTTAAAGTATAACAAGAAGGATATCAGATGAAAATAACAACACGGTTGCTATCTCTTTATGTGATGAGGTCAACGATAAGTGAAACAGATTGTTGTATGCTGCTTCATTTCTGCACAGGTTCTATGTTAAACATCTAATGATATAATACGACACAAATCACCTTTATTTCAACCATAGCTGACAATCATAGTGCTGAAATGCCTTTTCTTATCTAGAGTGATGAACCTGATTAACGTTACTACATATACCGATTTATAAACTTACGCTTTCACGTCAAATCATACAGGAAAAATCATCTAATTGTGAATGGATCAAATTATGAGTCTACAGTTTATGTATTTCTGGATTGATGATACTCAAACGTAACAAAGATAAAGTGTTCTAATTCCAGATGATATTACTAGTCATCAAATAATAAATCTTTAATTTAGCAATAGTTACAATAAGTTCCCACGAATTTATTCTGCCAGTCAGTTTTATGGTAAAATTCATAAAGTACCAACGAACGATATTTAGAAATAATAAAAAAAATCGGCTAATTTTAAGCATTGTAGGACCTTAATGTTAAATTATGTAACAGTAAAAAAATTTTGATAATGCGTTACTATATCTGTCGTTCATCAGTTGAATGGGTCATATTATCTTCCTCTCATTTTTATTTCACTCTGCACAAATTAATGACTCAGCGACATATCTCATTTTGTTTATGTTGACCTGAGTTTATAATTCACTTATTAATGACAAACGTCTTCATTGTTTAATTGTAAACTTCATTTCTTTCTTACTGACAAGAATGTTATTCTGCTTATTTACTAGTTTATACATAACTGGACTTATATAGACACAGAAATATGTTATCAGCTTATAGTTGATATTAAATTGATGCATTCTAAGTATACGGTAGAGGTCAAGAATTTGATTTTATTAGTTTTAATGCTTTTCATGTTA